CCAATGCCCCCCCCCCCCCCGCCCGATGCCCAGCCAGTCCCCGAGCAGCGGCCCCCCCCGGCCAGCTTTCCCCAGTTTATGTACTGAGCGTGACGTCCCATGGTATGGAATGTCCCTTTGGCCAGTTTGGGTCAGCTGTCCTGGCTGTGCCCCCTCCCAGCTTCTTGTGCACCTCCAGCCTGCTCAGTCAGTAGAGCGTGGGAAGCTGGAAACCCCTTGACTAGTGTAAGCACTGCTCAGCAACAACTAAACCATCGGTGTGTTATCAACATTGTTCTCGTCCTAAATCCAAAGCACAGCACTGTACCAGCTACTAGGAAGGAAATTAACTCTATCCCTGCCGAAACCAGGACACCCTGAGACACTGCCACCAGCAGTGTGCCACTGCCCCGTGGGCACACACAGGTACATGCAGGATGAGGGCCATCCAGAGAGGGATGCAAGTGCCCGCCACGAGCAGCGATTGCAGTCCCTCAGCTCAGCTTCTTGCCTGTGCTGCTGTCGTTGATGAGGAGTGGCTGATGGTGGTAGTCTGCTCTCAGGACCAAAACACTCCAAGGAGATCTCTATAAGACACCTACTGACATGGTAAAGAAAATTGCTTCCAAGTCTGGGGGTACATCATTTATGTAGGTTGAACATACCCAGCCTACTGGAGGCATGCATTTGCAGAGCAATACCTGAACTTTTACTGTGTTTCCCTTTATTCCCCAAAGGCTACAGAGCTTGTGTTTACTCTGTTAGAGGACACGCTCTTCTGAGTAACTGCACCTCCCAGCAAAGTCAACTGTCCCTGTAGTGTCAAAATGAGGTGAGGCATGGCAGAGCAGAACAGAAAGCGCTGCCCAGAGGCATCAGTGTCCTCCAAGAGAAGTCACCTCTTTCTCCGGCCAGCTGGCAGCACAGATGCGATGCTGTCCTCGCTCTCATGGGTGTGAAGAGGAGGCAAGAGAAGGAGGCTGTGGTCCAGGCCAGGTGACCCCAGGGAGTTGGAGCTGGATGTGGGGTGGCTGGCAGGAGGCAAATGAAATCAAACAGCCAAGAGCCAGTGGTGGTTTCTGACTAAGGGGAAGAACTAAAAGAGAAAAATCAGTTCAGAGCAGTGTCACACATCACCAGCTGCTGTATAAGATGTGGGCTTTCAGCTTGCTAGTGCAGATGCAGAGAGGCTGGGCAGCCTCCCTTTGTCATTAGGATTCACTTATTAGCAGGAGGTGCCTTCCTCGGCTTTCTGCCATCTGTGTTTGTTTTTTCTCTTTCACTCTATTTGCCTTTGTTTCACAGCTTACTCATTCTGTTTATTTGCGTTAGGAGGCTGCGCTCATCTCCACTCTGACAGCAAAGTTCACACATGGGGAGTTAGCACACATCTAAAACAGATGCTTCTGCAAAGTGGCGAGAGCATCCCCCTGTCCCCCAGCCTTGTGACAGCGGCCGGTTGTTACCGTACGAAATGACAAAGATTGGAGCAGTCACTTCAGAAACTCCCTTCTGCAGCAACCTCGATGCAGTGCCGGCGCCAGTGCCGTGTCCTCCTCCAGCTGGGCGTAGCACGAGGTGACTGGCCAGCCGAGGCGGGGAACTGGAGAGTGCCATCTCACTGCAAACCACCATAAAGAGATGATTTATTCCTCCAGGAGCCCTAGCAGGCAGGGGAACCTCAACATGGGGATGCTGGAGCCTCGGGTGGGTGGCACAGGAGTTGCATTTGTCCAGCACAGCCTGGCTTTAGACCAAAGCTCTACTGCAGGCAGCTTGATCTAGTTTTTTCAAAAATACAAGCTGGCTGTAAAAAAAAAAAAAACCAAACCCAAAAAAACCCCAACAACAAAACAAACAAAAAACCCCACAGCTGCCCGCTCTCACAGGAGTGCTGCACGCTGCAGCTGGCTTTGCAAGCAGCTTCTCTCCCTCACCGGCTCTCACATCTGGACGGGATACCCCCACCTTTCTGCTTCGCATTCGGCTTCACCCCACCTCCACATGCCCTTGCCCTCCCTCGGGAGAAGGTGACAGTAATTTGGCAACAAGCCCACCTGGAAATTTGTGCAGACATTCAAGTGCAAGACCACAGAGCAATCTCTTCTTATTCTTCAAGGCAGTAGCCAGCAGATAACGTTCAGACACACAAATGAAAGCTAAGAGTCACTTACTGCAAGATTAATACAAGATTTCCACCAATTCAGATGGAAACTTTATGCACGTACTCTGCACGGGTGTAAATGTTTTGGCCGATGGGACCCAGCCTCCTCTGACCCCTTCAACCTTGGAGTCATTAAAACTTTAGCCCCAAACTTTGCGCATTAGTTCAGAAGAGAGAAAAACAGAAATTTGTTTCTGCAAAATTCTCCTTACTTCCCCCCACACACGTGGCCTTAAAAAGATGAAATCAAAACATCTTAAAAGTTAACAAGATTTAATTCTGTTGGGTTGCTCAGAAATGTAGGTCCTTCCAAAGAGATGTAGCTACCAGTCAATACAAACTAGCTTTTTTCCTCCGGAGTATTTCAAATACCTGCACTCCAGCAATGTCAGGTTATTTCAGCTCCTGAAATAGCTATCTGAGCTTCTCGGCAGTGTGACACCAATTACCTCGACACTTACAGAGGGGTTTTTCACTTGGTTCGTGGCTAAAATGCCATTTTCATCATTAGTTGTGCGTGTGGCAATTACAGAGGCATTTCCACGCGATGGAAACCATCCAGCAAGTCAAAGGCTTTTCGTGTCCTCGCCGTCAGACTCGTGTCCACGGTCCCGATTCAGCCACGCTCGCACCTTTAATTTAAAAACAAGTTTGAGCATTGTGCTGGGTAAGGCTAGACAAGCTGGCGTTTCAGAATACATACATACCAGAAGCTGTCCCAGAGGACTTGGTGGGGTCGCACCACCGAAGCTGTTTAACGAGGCTGCTCTCTGAAATGGCAGGGCGAGCCCGTCCTCACCCCTGCGACCCACCTCTCCCGCAAGAGAGGGCTGGTGACACCGCGCTCCTGCCCTTCACGGTGACAGCATCACCGTCCTCGGCAGAGCTGGTGAGAACAGAGGGCAAGTTAGGCGACAAAGCAGGGACCTTCCCCACCTTGTGTGTGGAGGGGGGGTACAGCCCGTTCTCCCCCATGCCCACCCAACGCCACGCCGGGCAGCGGCGCGTGCCAGCGCCGGGGGGCAGAGGCCTCCTCCCGGCCCGGCATGGCTCACCGCTGCCTCTCAGCCCTGCAGACAGCGAGCAAACAGCTTTCCCTCTCCCTCGCTGGAATGAAGCCTCCGCAACAAGGAAAAAAATTGGGGGCAAAAATGCAAAATTCAGGCAAAATATCAAAATTGCGTTTTTAACGGGTTCTGTTGTAATCGGCTCTCGTGTAGCTCTGTTTGCTGGGGGATCTGCCCTGTGAGCCCCCCAGCTGCTTTCCTGGGGCTGCAGGGGGCCTGGCTGGGCTGCCCCCCAGCCGCCCCCAGCCTCCGCCAGCTCAGCGCGTCGCAGATGGCGTTCCCGGCGCTCCGGAGACCTTTAAGCCGCCCGCTCCCTGACAGTCTTTTGTTAGCACCGGTCTAGACATTAATTGTATTCCTGCAGTTTAGCTTGAGATGTGGGGTGTAAATGGCACCAACAAGAATTCCTGGAAATAAAATTAATACTTGTAATCATCCTAATTACAGCAAGCACCTCTTTGTGGCTATTTTATAAAAGGACACTAGTAAAATACCTTATTTGAAGCTCTAATATATTTTGTAAAATGTCTTTTCATTTAATGAAATCATTTTAGTTTCAGTAATTACTTAAGTCTGGCGTTAACAGAAATAAGTTAGTTAGGGCCACATAAGGCCACCAAGGAATTAGAAATTAATTATGGAGAAGGCAGAGGTAGGTCTGCTTTGGGAGATGCAAGGCTTTTCTTGGCTTTGACACTTAGGTTTGTGCCCCATTTGGTCATGTCCCCAGGTGTTTAGAGAAGGCAGAAAAATGTTTCCTGTTTAGGCAAAAGTTTAATTACATATAGAAATGCCAGTATTGCCATCTTATATGTGCACATATGCACACACTATGGTTTGTAAACCTTGCTTTAAGGAGTGAGGAGGAGGCAAATGTGAAGACAATCCCTGCTTTAAAATGATAATGCTTGAGAGACACCTGTACCTCTCCTACGTTAGAGTCATCCTTGTTCATCCCGGGAGCCAGGCACATTGCCTCACATGAGTGGGTGAGAATCTCAAAGTTTTGTGATTTGTTAATGTCAGCAGTAAATCATGATTAATTCCTCTGGCAGTCATCGTGGTAAAAAACATTGTCACCACATGCCCTTTGCTATTAATACTGTGCGATCAGCCGTTTCCAAGAAATACTGTTTGAACATTGCCCGTATGCAAACTCAGGGCCTGGCTCCTCCCTCATTAAACCCAATGGTTAAAAAGCTGGGCTTTTTTCAATGGAAGCAGAATCAAGCCATGAATGTTTTGGGCAAAGAGAGGTAATTGGGTGGATCTAATTCTGCTTGGAAAGCCACCATCAGTGACGGCTTCTCCGAGCTCATGCCCTGAAGTCGGCTGCAGGGATTTGACGTCCTGCTGCGAGGCGCACCCAAGCATGCCAGCACAAAGTGAAAAAGGGAGATATGTCCAAACGTCCCTTCTAACTTAGAGTTAAGTTTAGTATAATGCTGCTAGAGCTGCAGCTCTCCTTACACCTCTGCAAGCCAAAGGCCTTGACGAGAAATGAAACTTTCTGTAAAGTCTTTGGGGGGGGAGCACTCAGTCTCAGTAACGTGTTGTCTAAGCCACAAGTTTTTCAAACCAATTTTAATTTTGCTGTCAGCTTTGCATCAGTAATTTTGCTTCCGGGATTTGTCACTGAAAACATACCAGGGAAATGACTGAGCCGCAAGTTTTTAAAGATCGCCTGTAACGTCATCTGAAATCTGCCTGCAGCTCTGCTGCCAGATAGGAAAAGAGAAGAGCAGTCACTAGACGTAATTTCTGAAACACGCCATCGCGTTTCCCTTTGTCTCTTTCAGCCAAACACCACTGCAAGGCAACTCCTGCAGACCAGCAAAAGCCACTGGTCCCCGCAGTTTAAGTGTGCGTCCCTACGAACGGCGTCTCCCAAAGCGAAGGGCGCGGATTCGCCGGCTTTCCCCAAGGTGCCCGACTCCAGGCGGAAGAGCCTGCGGCAGTTCTCCATCACCACCGCCCTGAACACCCTCAACCGGATGGTCCACGCGCCCGCCGAGCGGCAGGCGCTGGAGATCAGCTCCCCTGTGCTCATCAGCTCCAGCAACCCCACCGTAGCCACCCAGAGCAGCGAGAAAGCGGAGTTTCCCTACGGCACCCCTCTCCAGGTAGGGAAGCGGCGGTGTGCATGCTGTAGGAGCAGTATGAGTCCAAAGTGCAAATCCTGGATAGAAACACTTGATGCGCAGGCAGCAATTTGAAAAGCTAAAGCGCAAACGTGCAAAGACAAAGCGCCCATGCTAATAGCGTCAGTAAGATGTGTCATCCACATCAGGCTGCCTGGGATTTTTTTCCCCTCCTTTCGAATTGGAAAGGTCTGTCTTCAGAGTTCAGGGACCCAAGGGAATTCATAAAAAGAGAAATTAAGTTATCAGAGTAACTAAATGTGGCTAAAGCACATTCCCATCCTGATTTCTGCCCTACTGCAGTGAACTCCAGGTGTAGAACAGAAAACAGAGAGCTTAACTTGCAAAATAAAATATTTTTCATTTTAGAAAGTAGTATGGAACGTGAATTCCCAAGGGAGCTAACTGAGGCTCAGCTCATTCACAGACATGTATGTGTGTGTGTGTGTGTGCCTGAATTCACACTGCAAGCAAACATCTGGTTTGCCATATAACAATGTAGATCAAAAATAGGTAGTTCTCAACATTTGGAAAATTAAAGCTAAAACCAGCCATTGGGCCACTCTCACCTGCGTTACTTCGATGATGAGCCTTTCTGAGCTCCTCTCACAGAATTAAGTTGCACCGGCACGGTAGGACCTGCAGAACCAGCCCCTGAATTATGAGCAAATAAAAGCCCAGTGAGAAAGCTTCATTGTACTGAGCAGGCCTGTACCGCCAGTGATTGCTTTAACGGCCTTTTCATCTAACCCCCATGCTTAAAAGGAAAGTAGAAACCTGCTCTGTTTATTAATTGGTATTTCAATTTTTCTGGTAAGTCTCACGCATACAAGGAGTCCCCCGCATCCCCAGTGCTTATCCTCAATGATAAGCATTGGGCTTAATCAAAAAAACTTGATTAAGCCCAAAATCTCAGTGCAGAAGATCACATGTTTGGGCATCTCTAAACATAACCTTTACTCTGCCCGCCGGGGCACACGCAGGCATTGCGGAAGCACGGCGCTCCATTACCGTGCCCAAGCCACAAAGTTTTCTCCAAAGGCAAACTGCCTACAGGACAGGTTTCCTCAGAAAACACCAATTCAGCAGTGTTAATAGTGAAGAAGCCTCCTGCTTCTTCTAAGCAGGGCTGTCAGCCCTTCTGAAAAGCAATCGGGGTCTTTGCCCTACCGTAAATCAGTCCTCTGCCTGCATCTATCCACGTCCAGACGAATGGTTTCTGCAGGGGAGGGCAATTACCGGGAGTCCTTGTCAGTCTGCAATCTAAACCTGGGACTATGCTGAGAGAAGCTGAATTTGGGGCTGAGATAATAAACGTAGACTGACCTTTTGGACTATATCCGCTCTTTATTTTAGGAGGCAAAAGAGTCTCGTTCCTTCTTCACACACTGACTAAAGACAGAATCTTCACAGATCATCTGAAATGGGAGAAAAAAGGTTTTTGTTTAGATTTATATGACATCTTTCATATTCAAGGTTGCTCTAACATTTTACAAAGCAATAAGCCAGCCCCTGGTAGTTCGGTGCCTGTGCAATAAAACCCAGCAGGCATTTTGTACTTAGCAATAGCCTGCGAAGAGCCTTGGATGTTAGATGCTGTTTTATGTGAGAGGAAATGAAGCCTTAACAATAGAGCTATAATTCAATTGAAATGGTATCATGTCTCGCGAACCCAATATAATTTTACCAAAAATGTCTCAGTGTGAACTATTGTCAACAGCAGAAGCAATAGAGGGAACGTGTTAACGTTTTGCCTTAGAAGGGCTGGAATTTCCTTTCTTCTAAACAACAGTTTTGCTCCCAGAGGTTTGCAGGAGGATCCGTGTTGTTCACGGGGCCACACAGATTGCAGCTTTTTGTTTTTCCATCTCTGGGTTTGGGTTGCAATGACTAACCTGCAAACTTGAGATTCTTTTGCAAGCCCAGATACGCACTGCCAGGCTGAACCATGTTGGCCATATCCCACTGAGGTCGCTCGTCCTTTTTCCTAGTATTAATCAGATGGAAAAGCTGCAGGGGTGAATTTTTTGATGGCTGCCCTCATGATCAGAACAAAGTTGCAGGACTGAGGAGTAATGGGAGAGATGAGAGCTGATGCTGATCCCAAGGGTTGGTCTACCCTGCTCAGCAGCTTCTGGTGGAAGCTCAGCTTCGATAGTAAGCGCTGAGACTTTGGAGAAACAGCAGCGCATCTCCAAAAGTGTGGTTGTTCCATGGCAATTTATTTTATATACGCAACATTACCTGGAAGGAAAAGATCTGTGTTTCTTGGGTTTAAACTACTCCAAATAAAATACAAGTTTGGAAGTAATGAACAGTTGCGTGCCTACTGCCCCAGAGTACAAGTATCAAGCTGGGGTCTTCCACTATTAGCAATATAGTAAAGAAAAGAGTGGGTTGAATCACATCCTTAATTGCTTCCGTGCGTTTTCGTGTTCCCTAGTAAGTCTGCAGAGGTTGAGTAGCCTGGATCTTTGTGGGTGGTCACAAATATGGTGCAGCAGATGGAGCCGAGTCTACAGCTCAGCTCAGCCTTCCCGGCTCCGGGCTGAAATCCTCACCAGGGTTCACCCAGGTGCCGAGCCTGTGCTCACACACGGCTGTGCTGTGTAAGGAGCAGCAATGGCAGCTCTCAAACCGCCCAGGAGCCAGCCCCAAACGGCACAGCCTCTCAGGAGGAGTTTCTAAGACCTGATGGGCAAAACTCAGCAATTTTTGAGAATGAAGTAGGCAAGGATTGTTAAGTGGGAATTGTCCCAGGAGACAAAGCCCAGGGCTGGATAACTTTAGCTGGCAAGCAGAGGTAAGGTATATGGGGTAGGGTGGTCAAGTGACGGAAGGTGGCCCCTTGCCCAGCCCCTGGCCGCCAGCGCTGATGCCCTCCTCCACCAAGCAGAGGGATGGCACGGGAGGGGAGCAGGCATCTGCCTAAGATGGCGAGCGGCGGGCGAAGCCGTGGAGGCTGCGTGGGGTTAGCGGGTGAATCACTGGCAGGAGGAATGCGCACCGCAGCATCCGCCCTCCCTGGGAGCCAGGGAAAGTCCGCCTCCCCATCCAGGTCTCTATGCGGAGCCCAAAGAAGTCAGAGCAGCCACGGCCCCCGGGCTCCACACCCAAACACCAGAGCTTTTCTCCCCCTGTGAAAGGAACTGCGCCATCAGCAGCTCCCCAGCCCTTCGCTCGCCTCCACGCGCTAGGCAGGCGCTCGCTTGCCAGGAGCACGCCCTCCACGGAGCACTCAGAGTTGCTTTTGTCCTTTCAGACAATGACCCAGTTTCATTCCCTGCCTGAGATAAGGATGTAAGGCCCCGTGAGACCAGCTGGAAGGAAAGGAGCTGTGCTGCAACTGGGTTTGACACTAGCAAGGGTTAGGATCACAGGAGGTGGGGTCCTAGCATCAGCCCTCACTCAGGGGTGGGGCAGCAGAGCAACCTCAGCGATCAAACTGGAAAGCAAGTGACCCTGTTACTATCCAAGGTTTTAAATCCCTCTCCTCTGCAAGGACAGGCTTCCAGACAGATACTGAATACACATTTGGATCTAGTAATTTAAAAAAAAAAAACTACGCATTTTGAACAGATGTGTTCATTGCTTTCCTTGGGGTGAGGGTCAAAAAAAGTGGGAGTTTTCCAGTAGCTTGTAGTTCCATGACACTTGCCCCAAGCTATGAGACTACATACGTTTGAGGGAAACAAAGAGGAGCATTAGTATCCCCCTGAAGCACCCTGTGTGTGACATGTCCCCCCGTCAGAGTCACATCTCCAGCAATACTGGCGCTTGGCGGGAGGAGAGGGAGCAGGAGGGGCTGCACCGTGGGTACACGCAGCAACAAAGCATGGCTTAAAAAGCAAAGCTGAAGAGGCTGTGCTGCGTGTTTGTACGGCTTTCCTGAACACAGTGTGCCTGCCTGGCATTTCCACCAACAAGGATCAGGTTGGACTCATTTCGACCCATAAAAGGGAATAACCAGCAGCGGCTGGCACTGCTGCCAGCCCTCCCCCTGCTCTTCCTTCCCCTTTGTGGTGCCAAGCCGGGCTCAGGCAGGAGCCAGAACCAGTTTGCAGGGCTTATGGCACACCATGTCTGTGCCTGTGCCTGTTGTGCAAGCGGGCTGGCTGCGAGGCGAGGGGGGCATGGCAGTGCTGAACTGTGCCCTCCCTCTCCGCCTCCTGCAGAAGGCACCAGCAGCTGCAGGATTCTCTTCCCAGTCACAATTGAGCTTATTCCCCTGGGCCTGGCAGTACCTGGGTCAGGAAACATCTGGCTAAGAGCTGCTGCTACCCTTTGCCGCTCGTTAAAGCGAGCTGATAAACCTGACATCTGCCATCTACTACATTTGGCTTTTCTATGTAATAAATGAGCTGAAACTTGCAGGACCCAACTTTCAGTAGCACCAAGAGCACCAACTGCCCCATGATGGAACGGGGAAAATCTCCCTCCCCACACGGTATCTCATGAACACTCTCGACAGGGAATTGCCTGTGTCAGCAGGGCACTGTAGAGAGGAGCCAAGCTAGAAATCACGTTGGCGACAAGCTAGATCAGGAGATGGAGTAAGAGAGGGATTTAAGGAGAGGTGGAAAGTGAAACTCTCTGTACTTATAAGGGCTTGCAAAGTACTAAAAGGAGATCAGCAAAAGTGAATGCTGAATCACTTATACCTGGCTGAAAAATATTTCATTCAATCTTTTTTCTCTCTGTTGAAAATACAAAATGAGCTTTGATGCAGGCTCTGGAAGGATCTCTGCTTCCACGCAGAGTGGGAACAGAGGGAGATGAAAAACATTAAGCTTTCCATCCAGAAGTGGACATTTCAACACAGTTCCATCAGGAAAACCAGCAAAAGGTTGTAATTTTGCTCCAATGCAGGAAAAAGAAACTCCAAATCCCCAAATTTCAAAGGTTTTGATTATCAAAATTATTAAAACAGAATTATAATTTCCAATCAACTTCATTTATATGAGAGGCTGGTCTGACCCTACCTGAACAAAAAAAATGAGGAATGCAAAGATGGTTTGAAGCTTTACCTGCCACTCCAGGTGGAGAGACAGAAGCTATAGTTGCTGGGGTTTTTTAATTAACTTAATTTACTGGAGAGCAACAGAGCTGGTGAGTCACTTTTTTTTTTCTCCAGGTCCTTGCTAAGCCAGTGCCCCAGCACCGTGTTACAGACATAGCCACTAGAAGTTAGATTTGAAATGAATAGGAGATTAAAGCCCTGACAACTTGCATCATTAAAGATCCTGTGGTCTTTGCTGGAGAACATGACTGCCAGCCACATCCCAGCCCGGTGACTTTCTGCTGGCCTGAGATTCCCCAGGGACTCTGCTGCAGCCGCCCTGCCTTGCTGGGAACTTTGTTTTCACCTCCCGACAGCAGCCACGTTCCTGCAGCGGTGCAACATGGCTAACGCCTTTCAGCGTGCACAGCACTGAATTTCAAATGGGGATGAACTGCTTGCTCACAGCAGTTCACCCCGGGATATGTTTTTGTGCTTTAGAAGGGACAGATCAGCAGAAGAGAGCATCCTGGGGATGCCAGATTGAACGCTGCCATCCTTTCCTCCAAGCCCGCGGGCCCAGCCTGTGCAGATAGGCCAGTCCTGCTGAGTGCACTCCCTCATCACCCCCCGGCCCCGAGGTTTGCTGTGCTGCCAGCACAGCGACAAGCAGAAAAGCAAAGTTCAGGGGTAGAAACCAAACGGACGAGGAGGAGCATGCACGGTCGGCACAGACCAGCAGGTTCGGTAACTGAGACCTTCCTGGGCCAGGCTCAGCAGCACCGCTTGTTCTCACCATTTTCAGAAACAAACGTTGCCGGTGAAGGGTGGCAGACGGATGCCCCCGAGGACATCGTCCCAGCCCCCAGAGCCGTGCGGTGCCAGGCGTGGCAGCGCTGCTCCCTCCATCCCTGCGACAGACCTCGGCCCTCCCGCCTGTGAAGCGGAGATAACAAACCCTCCCTGCCTCCGCGGGGCTGGAGGGATCTCGCTATCTCCTAACGCTTGGAGAGCCCTTGGAGAGCCTCCAAAGCAAGGCCATACAGAAGCACAGGGTATTATTGCCATGGCTCCAGCACCCCACCAGGAGGGACCACCTCTGGAGGAGAGAGATGGTGATGTCCTTGCTCTAGCTAATCCTCTGCCTCGCTGCTGGGCATGTAAACAAGGTGGCCAGCTAGGACTGGTCAAAAGAGTTCAGCTTAAATTGTTTTGCTTTTGCCATTTGAAAGATAGCTGGGCTTTCACGTGAAAGGGAAGGGTCTACCTTCCCTAGAAAATTCTCAGTTTTCATTGGAAGACCTTGCACCCTGATTGCTACATAAGTTTGCAACCAGCAAAGAAAATATTTCCTTTAAATCGTGCTGTCACGCAGCTCCCGGCAGGATCTAGCCCAGCACCTTCCTTTTCTGGTATGGCAGGGATTTCCTGAACAGATAACCCTCCCACATTGCAAGTCTCCTGACCAAGGGGGAAGACGCCAATACGTGGTCCAGGAGACGTGCCCCCAACAGAGGGGGAAAGAGCAGAAGAGGCACTTAGACCTACGCCTCCGCCAAGCACTTCAGTAGCATTTCTTAGTGGAAGGACTTTGTATAGTTGGCCAATACACTTTAGAGGTTTTATCTGCATGCTCTTCAGATGTTTTTTGGGAAAGGATTAACATTTCCCATATCTAATAGCTCTAGTACTGATTTTTTTACCACTCAGTCAGCCAGCTATGAAATGCTAACCCACTTTGCACCGGCAACCAAGTGAAACATCTCCACGGCTTGTTCTTGGCATCTGGAAGCTCCCTCCAGCCTGCAGAGTACGCTGGAGATGGAGGTGCAGAGTTTATCAGCCTCAGAGAGGTCATCCTATTTACTTCTCCATCTGCAGGGCAGCGAGCAGGACTGCTCTCACTTGAGAAGTTGGCATTTGTAGAAATTTCTTCTATTCTTTCTACTGGATGGCCTTCACCCTTTGAACAAAGCCCTGTCTCCTTGGCAGTCCCCTCATGGAGGTGAAGAATCTGCAGAGATCAGTGCCATGCAAGGGGGGGGACAGCTACCCATGGTGGGACCACGCCGGAGCCCAGCGTGCACAAAGGACACGTAACCGAAACCAAACTCAGAAGAAGAACAGAAACACCCTGCAGGCAGGTTCTGGGGTCGAGGGCTAATGGCCAGACGCTCAGCAGGACACCAGGCAGAGGACGCTCACCTCAGAAACCCCCTAAGCAGGTGGATGTCACTCAACCTGTGAGACGTGGAGGGACAGGGGAACAGGAACAGCCCAGCACACTGCCCGCGTCCTCACCGGGACAACGGGGAGGTCCAAGGAGTCATCTTCTCGCCTTCAGTGGGCGGCAGCAGGGACAGGCACTCGCCCACTGCAGCAGCAGGTCTGGCGCGGCGTGTTCAAGGCACAGAATTACCTTGACAGCAGAAACGGGGCTGAGGTTCCTCCCTGGAACATGAAAGACCCCTACGAGAGGACAGAGGGGGCATTATGGTGGCTGGTACCTCTCCATAGATGCAAAATAACAGTGGGGAAAGGGCCACCCCAAACCAAAGGCAAACCCGAGCGAGGCGCCTCTGCCCGTGCTCCTGCGCTGCCTGCGGTGCGGCAGACAGCTACTCCCCTTACCCGGCACGGTCTGCACTGAGTGTACGCACGGGTCTGTGGAGCTCCTCGGGACGTCACAGACGTGGTAAATAGCTTTAATAATAGTTATTAAAAGATCACTGGGGCAAGGACCATATTATTTAGGGTTTAGACAATACCAATACTCCCAGCTGGAGCTAAATAAATAACAAGCAAAACAGCAATGATTACACCAGTCCTCACCTGGCAGATGCGACGGTCTCCTCCTGGTTAGCAGAGTCTGGGCTTCACATGCTGTTTTCCCAAACTCCTTTTCCTTCCTGAAGTAGGCACCAGAGACAGTGAGTGAATCAAAGGTACTCACCTTGTTCAGAGCCAAGCGAGAAGGGGTGAGAAAACACTGAGCGCAAGGAGAGAGGCGAAGGAGTGTTTCCCCACTGGAGTGGATCTCGTATATATGAGATTAGCAACAATTACAGGTTTAGGGCTCAAACTTAACACTTGGAAGTCATGGCTGTTAGCTTACATTTATCCTGTTTCATTGTCATTCTGAGAGCCTCCTCACGCACCAGGTTACCCATCCCAACAAGTTCCTTATTTACAGGACAGGGTAAGCACCATCAGTCCAACCAAGCCATACCCTGGAGAGCGTCTGGGTGTTGAAGTGGAAGGACCATGAGTCTTCCTCTTAATGCCTGGTCGTCTTTTTTTTTGTCAAATGTTCCAAACTCTTCTTTCTCCTGAAATGTCTTTGGGTTGTGTTTTGGTTTTTTTTGAAGGATGGGTGAAGCCTGTCAAATGTTTTTAGCTGCTCCTCCAGTGGCTAAAATAAGTCTATATTCAGATTAATTTATTGTTTTCTTTCTCCCTGTAGGTCAGCGCATCTTACTATCCCACGCCAGGATCATTGGGGCACTCAGCAGCCATTGTCACTCTTCCCCATCTGCAGCACCACATATCAGCTTATATGTACGTAAGGAAACTGAAATACGTTGCGGGGGTCGTGTAATTTTCTGTACCTTCACCTGAGGCTTCTCCAGCCAACGGTTCTCGCGAGCTGGGAGGTAGAGGCAGACCAGAGGGCAGCTCCCGTGTGTTCGGATCCAAATGCAGATCCACGTAGGAATGTACTTGGCTGGTCTAAGCAGGGGGACAGAGACTTATCACAGGTGAACTCAAAGATTAAATTTAGGAAAATCAAGGGATATAGAAGAATGTGGGTACACTACCGGAAACATTTGAGATAGATTCTGATCATTCCCTCATCCAAATTTCTGTGCTCATCTTTTTAAATTATATTCCCAGCAGGTGAACCATACTTGCACCTTATTACCTCACTTAACTATTTATATATTTCTGCCCATTTATCAACAGTACATTTTAAAGTATAAAGAAACTAATTACTCCTTAAGTGCCTCTAGTTTATTTTAAGTAAGACAGTGACGGTCACTGGTGTTTTGAATGATCCAATCTTTTAAAACTTTCCCGGAGTTAAAATTGGCAGATAATATATTGTGATGATTTTCCTCTAGATAAGATTCAGCCTGGCACTGTAGTAAGCTACCCAATAACAACAAAATAGCAACAAGCTGTCTACATGGTAATTAGCACCTCCACAGTATCGAGTCAGACCTGTGGAAACATTACTACACATGAGCAATATCTATAAATCTGTACTACGCTCATGACGTTTGCTACTTTCAGGCATTGGCATATGTCACCCGAGACTATTGCACACACCTAATCCTAAGCACAAGAAAACTCCTAAGACCTTAAAATAATTTGCAGAGTGAGGACTGTATTGAAGTGTCCAATCAGCTGCCTATTTTGCACAGCTCCTTTTTCAACCCTACGATATCAAACCGGTATCTGCATGTCCTGCCCTTCAGGATGAATCCTGTAGAAAGTGATAAACCACTGCAGAATTAGAACACCCTTACACTGAACCTCACCTGCTCTGTGCAAGTAACAGAAGGAGAAGTCACTTTATAGACGGGCGTTTCAAGTCAATCTTTCAAGTGATTGTTCGGAACAACAGGGAGAGAGAAACCTTTTTGAAAGTTATGGGAAAGTCCTTGACTATCTAGAAAACTAGTCTGTTGTTTCTGTTTTTTAAATAATATCTGATAATTGCTGTATTTGTCTGTAACTCATTCATATTTGGGAGCAGATCACATTCCCCTTGGAAAAAAACAACAATGCAATTAAATTAAATGTGTAGACTGGAGACAAATTAAAGTTCTTTAAAGAACAAATAGGGGAAAGTTTTGAAAAATATGCTATTTTCTTTTGCTCCTGTTTTGCTGTGTGGTCACACATGGTTCACTGTGGAGAACAAAGCTCCATCACCTAGTCGTAGTCCCAGAATCACGACAGAGAGGTCTAGAGGGGATCGCAAATTCATTTCTAGTCTGGTTTCCTCGCTAGCCCAGAGCAGAGCCACGTACCTCCTCTTTTGTCCACTTTATTCTCAAAGGCCCCCAGTGGCAGCGACTGAAGTCCCAGTGTTAGTCTCTGCAGGGGTCCGGTCGCAGGAGAACGAGGAAAGGGAGGAAGATGGGGTTAGCACGCACATTGCTGTACGAGCAGTGCTCCTCCCCGCGCCTCCGAACACCTCCAGATGATGCTCAGGGCAAGCAGATGCAAGGCCTCTGGCTCACCACGTACTTCAAAGCCAGAATGTATTCTTGATGCTATCGATCAGGCAGAGCATCGTACCTGCACTCTTTCATGCTGCTTTGCCTTAGGACAGGTACACATTAGCCCTTAATCGGTTATTTCAATGGAGCACTCACCGTGTGAGGTGGGGAACAGCAGCTTTCTCCTCCCTAACGCTTGTCTTGTTGCCCTTGGCTGGCCCTTCCGGGACAGAAACCATTGATGGGATCTGCTTTGTTCTCCATTCCTGTTGGCTCTTCTTTTGTTCACATCCCCTTTGGCCTGAAGTTACAGGCAGTTTCTTCCCTGCGAGTTCTCTCCACAATAATGGCAGCACCCAAATATTTGATGTGAGTGCTGGTTGAAGAGGCTTCAGCAAACCAGCCGCCACTCAGCCAAAGCCAGCAGCATCAGTTCTTCAGCACAGTTAAACCCAGGAGCTTCAGGATTCGCTCCAGCCATGCTGCATGGGGGGCAGCTACCGCCCCGCGGGCTGCCTTCCCTCCCCCTCACACCCCCTTTCTCCCCAGGTGCGTGGCTCTCCATTCCTACATGGCTCACGGACCAGACGAGCTGGAGCTGCAGAAGGGAGAAGGGGTCCGCGTCTTTGGGAAAGACCACGACGGCTGGCTGCGGGGCATGTCCCTCGTCACGGGGAGAGTGGGGATCTTCCCCAGCAACTACGTCGCTCCCCTCTTCAGGTCTGGTTTTTCTTACGTGAAACAAAAACATGCGGAGGGGGGAGCGGGTAACACGTAGGATTTAGGGTCTTCTCATTCCCGCAGAGAAATCACTGCAAGAGATTCCTGCAGTACTAACAAGGGCCAGGGATTCCTCACCCGGGCGGGATGACACCTGGCAGCTCTCACTCCTTTCATTTCTCCGTGTACCGACTCGGCCGCACGCACCACGTGGGAATCACATCTCCCTCCAACAGCCGGCTGCCACCGCAGGGAGAAGTCAGGGAGCGGAGAGGGCCAGCAGTGTTCCCCTCGGAGGGGGCACACGGGCCGGATGAGTGAGCAGCGCAACATCAGCCTTCGTCCACTTGTTTTAAACCTGGGATGTCGACAGAGACATCAGCAGCTTCTTCCACAGCTGTTTAATTCAGTCCAGGAGCTTTGGCAGGGACCTGTAGGTGACACAGCCAGCACATTTTGATGAGTTAGTCTGGGAGCCAGGATGAACGGCAGCGTGTCTGTGCTCGGACTCGCCTTTAATCCTTTTGGATGACTCCGGCTTTTTTTTTTTTCCTGCCAGAAGGGGAACCACAAACTGAAGGCTCTTTTAGAGTCAAAATACTGTCTTTAGAGCAGGCATTTAAGCACTGGACACCATCGATCTAACTAGACAAACATGCATTAGAGAGAGCAATAATTAAAATATACAATTTAGGAGAGAAAAAAGTTTCCCGTGCCCTTAGTTCCCCTGAGATACTCTCAGGTTAGGCAGAGAAATGAAGAACAGCTTAGAAATGTAGTGCTCTGCTTCTGCAAATAGAAAGTGGGGATAAGTCAGGACAGCTCTCTCCCAGGACTGTGATTTCGTTAACTGGAGCAGGGTTTCCATGGCTGGAAACTCACTGCGACGGTCCAGCCCCGTCTGCGGGAGCGGGGACGGGGACAGATGGGCGCAGGGAGCTCTGCTCGGGGGGGGGCAGCTGTGGCCCGCGGGGATCGCCTCCACGCACACCCACCCGCCCATGCCTCTGCGCAGGGTTAAAGGACTGCACCGAGGGAAGATCAGGGGCACCTCGGCCGCTGCTTCCCTGAAAACCTTCTAGCAGCACATCAAAAATTCACCTTACGCTCCCAGATACTCCCGCTGCCATTTCAGACCAGAGGTCCCCGTGCTGCTTTCATCCCAGCACTGCCCCCCCGCACCCTCCCCGCGTTCAAAAGCGCTGGTGATTAGTCTTTGTCTCTCCAGCTCATTTCTTCACCATATAGCCTCCGATGACACCATGGCCCCACCTCACCGATAAACACAGCAAACAAACAATCGAGAGCACAGCCCAGTCACCCTAAATAGCCTCATAAAGCACTTCAACCGTAAGCGCTGGTTTTGGAGTTGCTATTCTATCCTCCTTAGGAAATTTCTTCATAACAAATTGATGCCCGAGTTATTTGATGAATCACTGCTCCGTTATTAAACCATGAATCATTCCTCCACACACACCCCCAAAAAGGTAAAGAAGAATCAGAGGAATGGGTTTTCCTCCCTTTAAGGAGTTTGCAGAAGGACCTCATCATGGCCCACTCTCTCAAGGAATTTGGAGCGATACTTGGCTAGTGTGCTGGTGGGGAAGGTTGACAGGGCTTTGGCAATTTAGTGGCTTCAGGTGAAAACATGAAGATGACCTCTCTAGGGAAGGCAGGGGGGGAGGATAATCCAAAGTAGGTGCTGTGCACCAGAGACCAAACAGCGGAGGGGAAGCTAGATCCAGACGACAGGAGCACAAATAACTGCCCCTGCCCGGCCCTTACGGACCTGCCCTGCCCCTGCGCCGAGAGATGCCTCTTACAGCTCGGGCTGAAGGTGCCATCCAGCAGGGAAGGGGTAGGATAGGGGCAAATTACAGAGGGAGGGCTGGTGTCTGGAGGTCCCTTTTGAAATGCCATGGGGTTACTGTAATGAATCCTAACGCTATTTGGGAATAATTTCTTATAAATCAGGTACAAAAAGATGAAAGCCTTCATTATAATGGAATCAGAAACCTGAACTAGCTGTATCATCCATAGTGTTTCCTACCAAAGCCCTGACTTGGGAGCAGTGCGGGCGCATTAAAACCATGGAGTTTCCTCCCGGGCAAACTCCTGCTTTCCTTACAAAACCCCAAGCCTAGTCTGAGCTTATTTTCTTTTCCTTTTCAAACAGGAAATCTAGTCTCTCTGACTCGAAGATGCCTTCCCTGTACACCTCATGGACGCTGTCAACCTCCTCACTCTCCTCTCAAGGAAGCATCTCAGAAAACAGCCCGAGACAAAGCAGACCTTTGAAACCGGCACTGCTGCCCGTGCCCGTCACCTCAGCCGTGAGGACCACGGCCGCGGCGGCCTCGGGACAGGCATCGTTGCGGCGCGGACGCGGCAGCACAAGGAAGAGTAAGTGCTTAGGGGGGTCTCTGGGAGGGAGAAGCCAGACGCATCCCCCCAAAACCATACTGGCTGCCGGCAACTGGCACCAGAGCCATAAAAAAAAAAAAAAAAGAGAAATGCACATTACCGGAATGGCAGCTCTCCTGAGTGGTCCCCACCAGCGCTGGGGTCCAGCGTCAGGCTGAGCACAATGCGAGCAGAGACCGGCTGTTCCCCGGGGCACTCACAGCATCTCCTCTCACCCACGGGCGAGCTGGGGGGGCGGGCAGGCATCCCCGGCTGACACACCAGGTTTGCAGACATGGAGTGACCATGCTGCCGCGCAGCTGCATCCCCCTTGTGAAACGGGCTCTTGAGAAGGGTCTTTCCAAGGGGTCTCGTGACAGTCAGGCTGCAGTGCTGAGGACAGGCTGCGTTATCCTGCCGCTGGGCAAAGGGCTGCACGCGAAGGAAAATGTGGTTTGCTAGGCTGAGTGTAGGGGGTGGGGGGGATGTGAAATGCCCAGGGGGTTTAATCCCCTGCAAAGGCAGAAACACAGGGCTGGGGGCAATGCCAGCTGGCTCCCCCATACCAACCGGCGCCGTGCCAGAGAGTGGCACAGCTCGCTTCTGGGGGAGCAGCTGATGACCGTGTCCTCAACAGGCATGTGAACGTGGCTCAAAAACCAAAAACATTTGAACAGTAGAGTAAGGGAGGCCATTAGACATAAAAGTATCCTTATGTGGCAAACAAAGAAAATGAAATACAGACTCCAGCAAGATAAATGTGAACTGTACCAAGACAATATTATCAGTCTCTAAAAGGGACTTCTGTAGTGATCTTGGAAAATGTAAATCAGCAAATCCAACCTTTGAAATCCACAACACCCAGCAACAGGGCACTAAAACAGTAGCTGAAACGTCAATACACAGATACGGGGAGAAATAATCCCTAATTATACACACACAACCTTAGGCCCTAAATTAGCTTTTGTCACCCTGGAGAGAGGTTTTGGAATTGTCACAGATGGCCTCGAGAGCTCCAACTCCATACTCAGAAGCAATTTAAAAAAGTTAATTTAGAGTATTATTAGGAATTATTAAGAAAGGAACTCAGAACAAGAGAGTAAAACTCAGCTGTGCCATTGGGGGAGTTTTGGCAAACTCATATCCTGAATACTTCATGTATTTCTGGTAACTCAAAAAGAATATAGTAAAATCAGGAAAAATATGCAGGAGGATGATCAAGAGAATAGAATAACTTCTATTTCAGGATAAAAAAAATTTCAGCTTGGAAATATCCGAGATGTATAAAATCATGAATAGCCTGAAGGTGAGAAAGGATGCTACACAAAAAAGAAAAAAAGAAGCAGGAGTCACCCGGTGAAATTGTGAAGTCAAAAGCCTTCATATAGCAGAGAGGTAGAGGGAAAAAGCCTCCATATCAGCTCTATTTTTCTTCTCCTCCTTCACAAAGATCCAATACGTGCTTCTCACTTGCACATCCCCGGGGCTGTAGGAGATACCCCTCCCAAGGACGGAGGGCAGGGGGAGGGAGCCTTAGTGAACACCTCCCGGGCAGAGGAGCCCGGGGTCCCACACCACTGGCTGTCCTCAGCTGTGATTATTTTGGTAATTTTAGTTTTTTGACTCCGCACAGAAAAACTCTTTGTGAAGGCTTAGCAGATCTCAGTTGGTTATACTCTTTCCAACGAGGCTAGCAAGGTTTATCTTCAGCCCATACATGCTGCTTTGGAGTACATTTCCAAGTGTGTTTGGTCAGCTAAGGGGTGTATTCTCCCATGCTTGCAGGCGGAGCTGCTGCTGGAGGCAGGCACTGCCCCTGGCCGGGGGCAGGCACGTTTGCAAGGGCCACTGTCAGTGTTTTTAGACTCGAAATTGGATTTACCTTAAGAGTTGTTTTACTGTAAACGACTCATTCCCCTGTGGTGGCTCTGTTTAAAAAAAAAAAAAAAATGCATCTTGTGAATAGCAAGAAACTGCAGAAGACGTAAAGCGTGTGACTTCCCGCACCACAGACAGGACAGCAGCTACGGGATGGAGCAGCCAAAAAGGAACAACAAACAGCCCAGGACGGCGAGGGCTGGAGGGAGGGCTCAGGAGCAGGGCTCCTGCTGGCGGTTCGTACCTTCGGCAAAGAAACCGTGGGGAGGGGGCAGAGCGCGCCCCGGGCCCCGTGAGGACCCCATCACGGGAGGTGTTCCCCGGGGTCTCTCTTGGGAGGTTTCTGCTCAGGGGGGTGATTTCTGCTCCCCAGCAGCGTCTGGTCCTACTCGCTCATCACGGTGCTTCCCCCACGCAGCCCAGGGAGCAGCGCTGCCACCACTCCTTGCCACGGGAGCAGGGCAGGAAAATCCAACCACGCCGTGCTGACGCTGTGCAACCTGGTGTTCTGGGTTAATGCACCAAGCGTTTGCACCAGGAGTATTTGCAGTCCAGGAGAAGGCAGGGCAAGCTCTCAGAAACCAGATCGGTCCTATCCAAGACAGAAAAATTTCTGTGGCATGAGTTGTTGTGCAAATACATGGGGATGGAGGGTTTTGGTTTGTCGGCCTTGCCAGTGTCCAGCAGAGCGGCTGCCTGCCGAGGCAAGGCTATGGAGGCAGGCGGCTTTACTGCACACCACTCCCAGTGCACGGAGGTAGGTGCGTGGCAATCCCTGGGAGCTACGACCCCACAGCATCCCTGTGAATGGGGCTGTTCTTGCAGGGCTGTAACCACTGCTCACTTCTGCCTCTCTGCTTTGTCTGTACCAT